ACGACTTAGGGGCTATAAGTTCGAAGCAATGCAATTAACCCTTTTTAATGGTATCAAGAGTGTGACCCAATTGGTAAATTGATACCTCCTTGATTTAAATAAATTACGGACCCTCTTAACATTCTTAAAAGGTTGCCCATGGTGATCAACTCTCTTCATATATTTGATGCAGGAGGTACATGGGGCACAAAAGGACAATACGGCCAAACGCAAAAAAACTTAGCTCATTATTCAAGGCAAGAAACGTTACAGACTGGGGAACATTTTCGAGGAAGGTGAAGGCATGCCAGAGAGGTTTCATGGGAGAACCCGATGAAATGAGACCAGGCCGTGGTGAATTTCACGAGTTTCCATATTCTTGTGTATGCCAAAAGCCAGCAGAACCAAAAGGTTTGGGTGAAGTCGGCAATAATGATCAAAAAAGATTGCACAGGCTAACAGAATAGAAACTGATCAAGGATACTAAGCAAGCATATTGTTCTCCATTCAAGTTCAAATGGAGTGGAGAAGCATTAATTGGTTTTCTCCAATCAAGCCAATGATGACAGTGTCAAGTTCACAATGAAGCCAAAATTTGCCTGTGATTTTGATGGCTGAAGTTGATTGTGACAACTTAGCTCGACTAGGTTGGTCTTGGTTTTGATGGCTCATAATTTTGCCTGTGCGTGCTGATGTAGAATTAATGAAGGCGGTCTGGGTGGAACTTGGGTGAAATGTGTTGCGCATGTTCTGGTTGAAGTAATGTAATCTTAAGACGCTACGTTCTGATTTGTTGCAGGTGATTACTAATCTTTGCCTGATGGAGAGCCTCAAAGGAGGTTAGTTTGTTACCAGGCGTGTACATCTTTAAGTATGATTATCGTATGTTTTGTTTCCCCGATTTCATCTCTGTGCAGAACTTTTGGCCATTTCTCAAATCTTTAATATTGTATCTTTTCTATTACTTTCTTCTTTTTTTTTATAGAAAATGTCGACAGGTTTTCAATATTTTGTTCAAATGTTTGTTATATGCTAGTCCAGGGCTGGTGTAGTTGAGCAGGAAACTATAAATGAAGAGCCCAAACAAACTGTGAGCGCCCGTCATCAGTGCTGAAAATGTACAGCCAAGGGTGTAGATACAAGAAAATCTGGATGCTGCTTCAAAATTCATTTTCATTAGCTGATGATAAGTGCAGTTTGCCACGGAGGCCAACTGTTGGGTTATGCAACCAATTAGATACTAGTTTTCAATCACTATTTTGTGAATATTCATTTAGTAGTAGCTGGTGGTTTTCTTTTGTACTTTTCGCTAACTATTTGATACGTATTTGCCAATTATTTGAGAGAGGAAAAAAAACAGTTAATTTATAGGGTTTTCTTCGTGGGAACCACCTAATAAATACGACGATTATATAGAAACTGGCTACAAGTTTCAATCTATATCAAAACCACCTAAACACTATGTTTTTCCTTCAATTAACCACCCACGTCCATGTTCTCTTGAACCTTTTCACCAAAATTCCGTTAATACCCTTATTAAGTAATAGAAATTGGGCATGGCAAGTGCCCTCGTTAAGGTTATTAATGGAATTTTGATGCAAAGGTCAACACAAATTGGGCGTGGGTGGTTGATTGAAGGGAAATCATACTTTTCAGGTGATTTTGGGATAGATTAAAATTTGTAGGTGGTTCCTATATAATTGAAAATAGATGATTTCTATATTATGTTATATTATTTATTACTCCGTTTCTACGATAATCCTTAAAATCTCAAAATTATGGGCTTTGCTCACAGGTCATACAGAGCTTCCAACAACTCAAGATGACATTTACTACAAATCCCATGCCAGCCAGAAATAGAAATCGCTTTATACTTACGCTTTTACACCGAAAAGCAATATATCAGTCGCACAAAAACAAAAATAAAAATAAAACACATACATTTAAAAAACAATAAAGGGGGAAATTCGCTGACATCAGAATTGAGATGCATAAATGAACAATGTACCATAGCCAATTGCTCCCTCATAAGTTTTACAATGAGGGCATTTGCGAAAGAGCGATTTTCGCCTGGGAGAAGAAACAAATTTGAGCTCAGACTGTCACGCCGTCAATCATCATCTTCAGAATCTGTATCAAGATCAAAATGAGAAATGTTTTTATTGACACGTAAGATTTTTTTTTTTTACGGATTTAGAAAACTCATGATGGGTATGCATTTGGTTTACCCGATCGAATGTCACCCCCAACTTTTCCTTTGTTACACATCTGCTTCATGATCATGGCGCAGATGAGTTTCCACCAGTACATGTGGAACACAAGCAGGGTGAGGAGCATTGTGTTGAAAGCGTAGTACAAAGCCAAGGGAAAAGGTTTCAGCATCCTGAAGGATTTTATGGACTGGTAACTGTGGATAAAACACAAGTCACAGCTCTTGTTGAGTCTCTTGTTTTTTTTTTAGCGAAAAAACAGGGTGAGATTCCCTGTTCATATATATATATAAAAGAAAGAAAAAACAAATTTACATAGCTTGGTGAGAACGAACCAAATTGGGAAGGAGAGGAACCGGGAAAGATGTTGCCGGAGGGGAGCGGACCCTAGTCGTCACCCTCTAGGCAACAGCTTCACTGTTTCCCGACCTTCCACAAGAATCCAGCCAAAGGAAATAACAAAAAGAAAAGGAAAGAAGAAAAGTGAAGGAAGAAAATATGGCAGAGACCACTACAACCGATCTTCCTCCGACACATGAACTAAAACTTTGGAAGGAAGGGGGCAAAAAAAAACCCCACCCATTAACTCTGGACTATTATCGGATGAACCCCCATAGCTTTCAAAATATCATAGCCCCTTAAAGTTTAGTGGTTATCAGGAAACATCATTTAAGATTTTCTCAGAAACCCCTCCCCCCCTAAAAGCGTGAACCACAATTTCATTGGCAAAAACATCCCCTGTGAAGTTTTGCCTACGCTTGTGAAAATTGTGGTTAACACTGTTAGGGGAGTTTTCTAATAACCCTTAACTTAAAAGGAATGTATCATGGACAGAGATAGTGAATAAGATTAAGCTGTACTGGCAAACCTTGAGGCCGGGATTATCCAGAAGGGAAAGAATACTAGCCGCAATATGAGCCATGAAACTGCAAAGAACCCGAAGAACAAGCTAGCTCCCATCTCGATTCCTGAATACTTGAAGAGTTTGGCCGCCTCCAGAAATACATCACTAGTGTCATGCAACGCGAGAATAATTGTTCCGATTCGAAAAAACCTGAACCAAACAAACTTATGAAATGTCACTCTATAACTACAAGAATGAATATCAGTGTAACATATACAAAATTTTAAATAGCATACAGAAATGACATATTTACGTCTTACCTTTCCTGCAGACAGCCCATGATTCTAACAAGTAAGAAATTATAGAAGAAAAAAAGTGTTGATCACAAAATCATGTAACTAGAAATGAGGATATCTTCATGAACCCCTCATTGACCATCATATATATGAATTAACGCAAACCCTTCTTAGATTATAAATTGAAAGCATGATAAATGAAAACCCTGAAGCAACAGAACCAGTTAACGACTCGTAACTAATTACCTGGTTATGTAGGAAAATCCAACCAAAGATGAAGTTATTATGTGATGAGACATCATAATAGCGAAATCTTTTCTTCGCGTTTCCCATGTGAGAAGAGCAGCAATGCCGTATACATAAAATCCACATTGGCACATGTAGAAAAGCTTCACTGCAAGGCTAAACAGGGAGGGGGGAAAAAGAAAAAGAAAAGAAAAGAAAAGAAAAGGTCAGCAGATGCTTTGCAATTTTGTAATTACACAAATGTTCACTTCAGTTATGAGTTACAGATTCTCAAACATCAATTCTGAATTGGAGTAGAACAAATATGCATGTGCATCATCCATGGCCAAAATTAGCTCCCAAACCCTACTACATAATTACTAACAAGAAACGCTAATGATGTTAACGTGGTAGTACTAATGGATACAATGAAATGAGTCACCACAGGGTTAAATTGGATTGAAATGTTCAAAAAAAAAAAAGAGTAAGATCCTTTATGATGCCTTATAATTTCAAGAACAAATCTTGGAGGGGCCTGTGAAAACAAGGTCATGCCCATAAATTCAAGATAGTATAAGTACCATTTTAGATGGTAATGAGAATAAAGAAAAGCATTTTGGAAAAATATATAGTAATCATTTGTGTGAATTATCGAGAAAATATCTTCAAACTTGCAGTCCGGCAAAAGCTATTAGAGAGGATATCGTCGATAATCAAGTCATTCGCTTATCAATCCAGCAGACACCATGCTAATATAAAACACTTCTTACAGATCAAATTTGATCAAGAACTGTTGAGGGTCAAAAGAATGGAAGTTTGTGTAAATGAATGGTGTACTCACTCCATCTCTTGATTGGGCCATCCTTGAAAATAGTCCTCGGTGTTGAGTGACCACGTTTGGTTTAGCATGATCAAAATAACCCAGAGCTGCATGCTGGCATAATATGTGAACTTCCACATCGACTCGGAACACTTGATAATCTTGGACTGCTTAGCATCATCTGTTGCCACTTTACCAGCATTTGCATGTCTCAGCATTATGTTAGACAGGGGCTGAGGTCATACATAAACATGCAACACTATTGTCAGTTGAGGGATCAGAATACAAAAGTCTTGCCCAAAAAAGGTAATTTCAGCAGGTAAAATACCTTACAGTTTCCCTTACCTTGCACTTATATACCATCCCATCACTTGTTTTTGGCGGCATTTATATACTGTGCAGTATTTAAAAGTTGCGCTTTAACGCTTTATGTTATGCAGATGTGAGAATTTTGCACTCAACATTTTGCATGCGGCACTCGCAAGCTAATTTAGAAATTTCAGCTCTTTATGTTTCTTGGATTTACTGTTAAAAACGCTCAAATTCCATTTTAAACATACCCAAATTACATTTTAAGATGGTATATATTATAGTGGGTATAATACTAAAATTAACAGACGTTAAGGTCTACAAAGTTCTAAAATTAGCTTGTGAGTATCACAAGGAAAAAAAATTCATGACAGAATTTCATCACCTGCGTAACGTAAGGTATTAAAGCGCAACTTTAAGAAACCTCAGGGTGTATAAGCGCTACCAAAACAAATGAAGGTACGTAAGTGCAAAGTGGAGAAAACTAATTAAGGTATTTAAAGCTGTTTAGGCTCCCCCAAGAAGAAAAACAAAAGGTAAGTAAAGAAGTACCTTGTAGAGGAGAGCGTCTAATAGGAGCCTAACGATGCCAAAGCTCAACGCGAACACCGCCACCAGCCAGAAATTCGACTCCTTGGGCAGCCCAACCCCTCCTACTTCCATTGCTCACTCTTGTTTCTTAACCTTTATTAATTTTTATATCAACTTCAAAGATCAAAACTACAAAAAAACAAACAAACTTTTAAATGTGAGAGCATTAAACCCCATTTTTTTTTTTATTTCTAATTTTTAAATGACAAACAAATTACCTGCTCCCCTTATTAAAACTGAATCCCAACAATCAGAACATGCCTCTATTTTTCTTTCTGATCAGAATGGAAGAGAAAGAGAAGGTTTCTCAGATTCAAAACCGTTGGAGAAGAGGAATTTGAGGACTAGTTTACATATAAGCCCGTTTCATTTTCACTTTTAAACAAAATACTACATAAAATCTCTTTTTCACAACACCATACCAAGTCAACAAATCAAAGCAAGACAAATTAATGGCACCATTGCATGCAGGTAATTTTCACGTGCTGGCAACTCACCTCCTGTTTAATTTCTCATATATGCATACGCATGTATAAGAGAGTATATTTTCACATTGATCGTACGACTAATCGTATCGTATTCGTTAGCACAAAAACATGCCACTAATTAGCAAAAAAGTTGACAGTGATACACATTTGTTGCATGGAACAAGGACATCTGGTACCTCAGACGAAATAAGTATATGTGAAAACGGTGAAGGAATTGTGAAAAACGTGAAAAATAACCCAAAACAGACTCCACCACACCCTGGTGTGGTGTCTGCCATGGGTGTGGCAGAATCTGCCCTGTCTGTCATGGGTGTGGTCTGCGCCACACCCTGGTGTGGCAGACTCGTTTTTAGAATCCTAATCTATTTGGGATTGTGTTTTGTTATAAATAGAACCACGTTTTTTAGGGTTTCTAAAGGAGAGAAAATGAGAGAATTAGCATTGTTTTGAGCACTTTGAGAGGGAGATATTGTGAGGGAGTTGAGAGCTTTGGTTAGGGTTATATTTGAGTGATTTTGTGAGTTATAACCCGTTGTATTTCTCCTTGTTTGTGGAAAAATTTGTAGTAAAAGAAACGAAGGAAAATTAATTTGTATTCCTTTAATCTCAGTTACAATTGGATTTCCTGATTACAAAAGAGAGGAGAATGAATTTGATTCTCCCATTTTTTTAATTCTGGGTTCTTCACGGTGGCGATGAGATGCTTCCCTCGAATGCTCGCGTCGAGTTTGCTTCTCGTTGACGATCCGATGTCTTGTTTCACTGGAACGTGATCTTCTCCTCACGATTTGACGTTGTGGAGGACGTGCGTGGCAAGTTTGAAACTCTGAACGAGTTGATTGATCTTAACCGTAATTGGTTAGACAAGCCAAAGATCTCCTTTTCTGTTAAGGAGAAGGATCTAAAAGCCAGCCCGAGATCTCTTCTTTGCTGCCCAAAAAGAAGGATCCGAACTAAGCTGATTTCTTAGTTATTTATAGGGGATTAAGGGGTGTAACCGCCCCCTAAATTCGCTCCTAAGTGGGGCTCATGGGATGTAACCGCCCCTTAAATCACTCTTGAGTAGAGTTGTGATCTCCTCAGATCATGGGAAAACGGTTTTGAAACCGTTTAGCTCGTGTTTGAACGAGTCAAACGCAAATCCTGCATTCTGGAATGCTGCGTCTGGCGGCGGTTAGAGTTGCGTCTGGCAGCGAGTGAAGCTGTGTTTGGTAGCGGTATAGAGTTGCGTCTGGCAGCGCTTGGAGCTGCGTTGGGCAGCAGTTGGAGCTACGTTGAGCAGCGGTATAGAGCTGCATTGGGCAGCGGTATAGAGCTGCGTTGGGCAGCGCTTGGAGCTGCGTTGAGCAGCGCTTGGAGCTGCGTTGAGCAGCGGTTGGAGCTGCGTTGAGCTGCGGTATGAGCTGCGTTGAGCTGCGTTCGTGACTATGAACGCGATGCGTCTTGATGCTGGTGTGCGGGGAGGACTTCCACAGCTTGATTTGAAGAGACCGTCGATTTGTAGTCTCTTTCTGTCGAAGCGTTGCAAAGATCGTCATTTTGTAATCTTTGCTTTAGCTCTCTGATATGTGAGAGTCGTCAGATTGTAACTCCCGATGTTGATTATGAAGGCTGTTTGATTAGAGCTTCCATCAGTTGTCGTGAAGGTCGTCAGATTGTAACCTTTAGCGATCTACGTGAAAGTCTTCAAATTGTAACCTTCTGGAAGTCGTCAGAGTGAAACTTCCATCATCGGTGTTTTGATGGGGATCAGCTATCTATTGTGGTTTTTAGACAGCCTATACTCCTCCATATAGTGAAATCTCTCATCCTCTCCCCGTGGACATAGGTAATTGCCGAACCACGTAAATTCCTGTGTTTGTATGTGATTTTGGTCGTTATTTTGTGAATTGCACTCGTGTTTGGTTTTGGTTTTCTTCTCTCATCGCTCACCGACTCATTTGGTTGTCGAACACGCTTCCGCACGGCGCGTAACAAGTGGTATCAGAGCTCAGATTTCAGATGTAGGGTTTTGGATTAGGTGGAGGAAGATTCAGTTGGAAGCTTGGTTCTTGGAGTTCTAGGCTTTGGTGGAGTTAGGGTTTGAAGTTGCCGTTGAAGATCTCGTTTTCCTCGTGTGGTTAGGAGTTCTATTTGAAATCCAATCTAGGGTTCAGTTAGGTAACTTTTAAATTCTATAAAGTTTGAATCTTTCTTTGCAATTTGGAGTTTGTGATTATGGGTGAAGAAGTTGGTGAAAGCAGCAAGATGACAGGTACAGTTCAAGTGGGTTTTCAGAACACTAAGATTAGTGTAGTGAAATATAACGGCAAAATCAATTTTGGTTTGTGGATGAGCGACGTACAGGATGCGCTTAATGCTTAAAATTTAGAGAAGACCATCATGGTCGATGTGAGGCCACCTAAATATGAAGAGGCGGTATGAGAAAAGATGAATAGGAATGCTTGTTGGGTGATCAGGTCCTGTTTGGAACATGAGCTGAAATATGATGTGATTGGGGTGACGTCTGCGATGAAGATGTGAGAAATTCTTAACAATAAGTATCTTACGAAGAGTGTTGAGAACAGGTTGCATTTGCTACGTAGGTTATTCAGATTCCAGATGTCCCGAGGCACCTCACTAGAGGCTCATGTGAACAACTACACTAAGTTGTTATCGGACTTGGCGAATGTGGATGAGAAGATCACGGATGAGTACAAGGCTATTATTCTTTTAGGCTCCTTACTGGATGAGGAGTATAATACCTTCGTGCTTACTTTGCTGAACGGGAGATCTTCTATCACTTATAGTGAAGTGACTAACGCATTGACGAACTACGATTTGAGGAGGAAGGATAAAGAGACTTCCTACGCTAGTACTTCAGGAGAGGCCTTGTCGACGAGAGGTAGAAGCCCATATTTGAAAGGTGGTAATCGAGGAAGGTCAAAGTCAAGAGGTCGTTACCAGCTAGCTAAGAACCAGTGTGCGTTCTGCAAGGAACTAGAACATTGGAAGAGAGACTGCCCAATGGTCAAGGAAAAGGAGAATAGCAAGAAAAAGGGTCCGAAGGCCAATGATGTGAATGTTGCGAAAGGCGATGATTCTGATGATTCGAGCTTTTCTCTTTTGATTACTCCGGAGGTGAACCATTTGGATGCATCGGATTGGATGCTTGATTCTGATGCTACTTATCATGTGACTCCTAGGCGAGATTGATTTTCATCGTTTGAGAGACTCGACGGGGGTGTTGTTGTCATGGGAAATGATCAATCCTGTGGCATTTATGGGATAGGTACTGTGAGGATTCAGATGCACGATGGAGTAGTCTGTGAGTTGAAGGAGGTGAGATTCGTTCCTCAAATAAAAAAGAATCTTATCTCAGTTAGAGCTTTGGAGGCTAAGGAATTCAGGGTGACCTTTGAGAACGCTGTAGCGAAGGTTACTAAGGGATCTTTGGTGGTGATGAAGGGAGTCCGCAGTCGAAATTTATACTATCTAAAGGGGAGCACCGAGATTGTCCAGGTTGCTTCGGCTACTTCAGAGGCGGACATGAGTAGGCTTTGGCATTACAGGTTAGGGCACACAGGAGAGAAGTCACTGCAGGCTTTGTGCAAGCAGGGGCTATTGAATGGAGCCAAGAGTGGTAAAGTGGAATTCTGTGAGCACTGTGTTCTTGGCAAGAAGACGAAGGTGAAGTTCGGGACGACCATTCATAGGACGAGGGGCATCTTAGACTACGTGCACACAGATGTTTGGGGTCCCACCAAGACTGCATCACTTGGTGGTCGACATTGGTTTGTCACGTTTGTTGATGACTATTCTAGACATTGTTGGGTGTACACCATGACAAAGAAGAGTGAAGTCCTAGATATATTTGTAGAGTGGAAGAAGAGATTGGAACTACAGACAGGGAGAAAGATCAAGACGTTACGATCCGACAACGACGGCGAGTATACTTCAGACCCCTTTTTGCAGCTATGTCGAGACGAGGGCATAGAGAGGCACTTCACGGTTAGTCATACACCGTAGCAAAATGGGATGACAGAGAGGTTGAATCAGTCTTTACTGGAGAAGATCCGATGCTTATTGTCGTATAGTGGTTTGAAGAAGATCTTTTGGGCTGAGGCACTTACATATGCGAGCTACGTCATTAATAGGCTGTCTTCATCTGCGATTGAGGGGAAGACCCCTATGGAGATGTAGTCGGGAGAGACAGCACATGACTATGACCAGCTTGAGGTATTTGGTTGCCCTGCATATTATCATGTTAGAACTGATAAATTAGAACCTCGAGCTAGGAAGGCCAAATTTGTAGGATTCAAACGTGGTGTCAAGAGATACAAGCTTTGGGATCTAGTTGATAAGAAGATTGTGCTGAGTAGGGACGTCATATTTGATGAGGCTTCTATCATGAAGCTTCCCAGCTCTCATCAGGTGAAGAGCAACCCGACAAAGGAGATATCGCAGGTGATGGAGATTGATGCAGCTCTACAGTGTCCAGATGGTACAGTATCCATTAGAGTGCCGACTGAGGTGACGCCAGGCGAGCACGATGGTGATGCGGAGGATATAGGTACTCATGTGCAGGATCAGGGACCGACGGCTCAGGTTCAGGATTCTATTATGGTTCGGAGACAGAGGAGAGACATACGGATGCCAGCACGGTATGCCGACACAGTTACATATGCACTTTCAGTGGAGAGTATCGATGAGATGATACCTACTACTTTCAGAGAGGCCGAGCAGAGTTCGGAGGCTGATTCGTGGCAGGTAGCTATGCAGGAGGAGATGGAGTCTCTTCATAAGAACGATACAT